AAATATCAAAAGAAAATATCTTACTATATATTTGAATTGCTGGCGCCTTAATTTTCTATGGTAAAAAAAGCATAAAATTCCGAAAATTTCGTAAGTTCCACATTAACATATTTTGATAACTCTTACTATTTAGTACTAATAAATCCAGTTTTCGACGCTCTTTAATTTGGTATAAAATTCATTAGGTATTCAGCTTGAAATAATGACGCTACCCCCCTAGCAAAAGGTTATGCACAACCCTGTACATAAACAAAAAAGTGTTTAAGATTGTTTCTTGGAGGTAAAAATGACTTTGCACTTGTGGCGGTCAACTGTCGCATTGCATCACCTGCATACATTAGATACACTTGTATATATTTAAAGAGCTAAAGTATAACAGTTAGTAGAGTGTTATTGACATTATTTAATAGTATAGAATAAAACGTTCATAAATTAGGGAAGAAAAATCAGGGTAAGACATGTATAGACTGGTATCCATCAAGATTTTGAAGGCCAAAAGCAACAGAAAAAACTCAGAGAGTAAAAGCCAAACGGTTCAAGGATCATTTAGCTAGTGTTTGCAAAATCATTTCATTAAATTAATTTATGAATGAAAAGGCTATGTCTGCCAATGTTTTAAAAGTTTATTTTTTGTCTCTCTCAGAGTACTAGAAGCATATGTTTTGAGCAAAATACTCAGAGTTGGTCTTGTTGAAAGCTCTGAAAAAAATTTTACTTTGAGCTCAGTAGAAAAATTGATAGCGCTCAGTTAAGAAAAAATATTACTTTGATTGGCATTGATGAAACGTTTGAAAAGTTGCAAGCGCTATGATGCCTTCAATATTTTCATTTTGACAAAACTGTTGATCTTTGATCTATGCAATTACAGTTCACTGCGAGAGAATGTTCTTCGTGTGTTGATCAAATGCTCTTACATGACATTACCATTTTCTTTAACATCGACAGTACAAGTATTCCAAGGAAGAATCAAGATTCTCACTTGGTTTTGTTTTCATTCTTAAGCAAACAGTTCGACATCTTCTTGCTTTTCAAGTAATCGATAAGTATAAAGTGCTCCATCCCATTTGGCCATATCATATATATTCAAATACAAACTTCTACCAGCTAATATATTAAAATATAGGTGATATACCCAATCTTGATTTTTTAATGCATTATTGACAAGTAGATATCCAGAAGCATGATTTGAAATTATCTCAATTTCGTTTATTATTCGTGCAGTCTTCATCCAGAGAAGATTAAAACCATTTTCTTGAAGAAAATCTTCGTAAAGTTAATTTGTTACACAATCAATCAAAAGTCCCAATATGATATCACCAAACTATCTTGAATCATTTGATAAATATCGTCTTTAATATGATCTGATTGAAGATTCAAAGGAATGGAGTATTCAGCCATTCCAGATTGATGAGTTAATAGATGTGAAATAGCAATCTTATTCCTTTCTATAGACACATCGTTGAAATATTTCACTATTTTGTCATCTAAATCAATTAATCCTTTTTTAACAAGCATCATTACATCCATTACAGTAAATGGTTTGCCAACTGAACTAGATTGAAATACTTTTTCAAGTTTTACAGGTACTTGATGCTCAACATTTGGGTGTGAGTGTGAGTTCTTTCATACTCACACTCATACCCTCGAATGAATATAGGAGACAATACTAAAGTTTATTTATTCAATATAAAATTATGTAACCCGAGCTCAATATACACATAATGAAATAATCGATGTTTTGTCAAACTTAGTTCTGCAATCTGTCATCTCAGAATATCACTTTTGACAATGCTGATGTTCTATCAGTATCTTCATTTGTTAGTAACGTTGCTAATTTCTTTGTGAAAAACATGTGATGTGCGTCAAGCTCGTTTCTAGAGTCCAGCCACTGATCAATCTTTTCGTGTTCGCTTCCCCAGATGCGTTTGATATCGTTGATATTTTTTATATCTGATGAAATCTCCTTAGCCCAATGAAAACGTCCAGAATAGCGTTGATATACAGTGCAGAAGAACGCAAGAAATGGTTGAAAAGGCAGTCTGGGCTCTCTAGTACGGAAGGGACAGCATTGAACAAGCCCGATATCCACGATAAACTGGTCATTCATAGAGCTGTAGGTGGGTGATAAAGGAATATGATTTCCTTTGACAAATCTAATTTCAATCATGCCATTCATTTGATAAAATCTACCTCTGTTAAATAAACTATATAATTCTTGCACTGCCATAGTTGCCTGTTCGAAAGGTAATGACCACTCTGACGTACGTTGACTATACAAAAAATCCACTGGTAAAAGATCTTTCTGATTACCGATCCGTCGTTGTGGAACCTCTCGCGTCAGTGTATACAAGAGACGAACAACATAACATGTCAATGACGATAGCCTAGTACATCGATAAAGAAGTAATTGATATAAGTAGTACCCACTCAAACAACGATGAAACCACGAATGCTCATGAGATGCAGATCGAGACACCGATGTGTCAGAAATTCGAGAGATACAAGCTCGGCCGTGGACATCTAAAGGCATCCACCATATAAGAACGCGTGGCACTGAGTGCGCAATGTCACTAAAGTTTGCAATAATCTTAGCCATCGGTATTGACTCTATTGTTTCTTCAAGTTGTTCCAGTTCAACACATTGCATTTTAACTGATGTAATTAAACCAAAGCAGCCCATGCCACATAGAATATTGTAGAAAAGCTCTTTGCTTTCTTCTCTAGTGATGATTTTCGACCACCCATTCGGTAGAATAACGAAAAATTCTTTGACATAGGTAGTACTGGTATTGAAGATCAATACCAGTACCTTTTGTACATGTTGAGAGAGTTCCGGCTAAAAAACAGCAGGCTGAGCTCCTTGTATAGGAAGAGCAAGGTTAAACTCATGAGAAGCCAGTTGCTTATTTAAATCTTCAATCAAAATACCTCCTTGAACATGAACAATCTTATTTCCAAGATCTACCTATGAAGAAAGTGAAAAATGATCTTGTTCTATCAAAGAAAAAACGAATAGTAATCAGATAAAACGAACGTTCGCTTTGGTCATTTAAAAAGTCCTTCTTTGCTTGGCTTCAAAACTGTAACTGTAGATGTGCATGTATGATGGATTGTACAGTTTCTGAAATCAACATTGATACAATACTCACATTCAAAATTTTATTAAATTTGCAAGTTGATACAATGATGGTGTGCCTCTCTTCTTGTTCGCCACTCGGACACCATAGATCATTTTTTGCATATAAGCCACCAACAATATGTACTTGTCGATGGGTCCGGTAACACCATTCAAACAAGGACTTTATTTCATCCTCGTTTTTTGATAGGAATAGATAAGCTGGATGACAAGAAAATAGATGGGACCAAGTAGAAAGACAAGGTCTGATGCGATGTTCGATGCTGAGAACAGTATCACAGAGTTCTATCATTGTCGATTATGATTTTGTGCAAAAGAATCGTTACTTTTGCATTTCTAAGTTAAGCAAAGGCTGATCAATTTTACAATGAATTATATATAGCATGCCTCTAGCAGTCACGTGCGCACGTATTCACCTTTCATTGTACTGCAGTAAAATGCAACGTTTTAATATAGAAATAGATTCAAATGTATTGTCATGAAGAAAATGTTTGGTAACGAAAGTTACCTAAAGAAAATTTAGTATTGACGATAGACACGACATACAATAAAACACTGATTTTCCTGTTTCTCTAAATATTTGTCTGATTCTGAATTCAGTTTAGTTCATCAGTGAGAGTCATATGTAAAGACTTGCCGTCTGTCACTCAGTTTTTTGATTTTCTTTGATGGATGAGGTTAAGAATGATATTATTTTCATGATTCTCACTCTCATCTAATCCACCCAACGAAGTGTTTTTGCAAATGTTTGAACATAACCTGCGCTTGAATACTATACAGTCGAATCAGCAGTAATTCCATCAGCCAATTTCATCTTGCTTCTCCCCTCCGTTCATTTCACACTGTCTAGAGGAATTCTAATCAGAAAACGGAGATTCATCCGATCCGCGTTAAACTGTAACATTTATGAAGAATAAAGTGTTGCCAAAATTTTCATCTCACACTCGGTTTTGTGAACATACTATCTGAATCTTGGTAATGAGAAGAGGAATTCTATTCCCACAAAAATTCTTTTCACGTGAGAAAGACGATAGTTGCAAATATTGACCACAGTCGGACGCCGAATGGTTAGCTCACAATCGGCAGTTGAGTCCCATATAGATGATGTCCCATATGGATATATGATCATGAGGTATACAAAAGGGCTACAGTCAGAGTAAGCACCTCGTATCGATCTGATTTTAGTATTAAAAAATTTCTAAGACTTTAATGTGACTATTTTATACGAAAAAATTGAAATTTTTCAAGGAAGCAGACTTCTGATCCTAACGACCCTCCTCTTTTAGAACATCCTATGGATGTTGACGATTGACAAAATCATCATTTATTTCATTATCTAGCTCTAAATTATCTTGATAAACTTTACAAATAAAATTAATTAATTTTTTAAATGAAAAACGAGAAGTTTCTCTTTGAAAATGTATACCAAATCTCTAATATATTTGTTCGATTATATTTGATTTTGTACTTGATTCTTCATAGAAGAATTTTAATATTTCTTCACAATGTTCCAATTTTTCTTGCATAGACAGATTTTTATTTGAACAATTTCTTTTCATACGTTTATCGATAGATTTAAACTGTGAACAAAATTTAATTAAATTCAATGAAGAATTTTTCTTTTAATAGAATGCTTTTTCTTACCCTCATTGTTACGATTATGATCAATAACACAAGGATGTTGCCGATCTGAGTGATTGCCATTATTTCTTTTTCTGTCGCCCGTTTGTATAGTCCAAAATGAATATTTTTGTTCTATGGGTATATAAAGAGAAAGAATTAACACATACGAACGATTACATTTTAATACAAACCTTTCCACGTATAGTTCGTCGGAGAATCGTATTGTACTGCACGCGTTGAGATGGCAACATCATCTAAAAAGAAAAACGATCCAACTATTGAAGTAAGAATATATTGTTAGCTATTGTCTCAATACAACTTTCTTTTTCTAAGGCTTTATCTGCATTAATTGAAGATCCATCAACAGCTGAAAATGACAAAGCTAAATATATTTATAAACGTATTTATATTAATTATGAAAAAAAAAATTGGAATAGTAACTTTTTATTATTTGTTTTTTTTACTTAGTTATTTATTTTTTGTTTCAGCTGTCATTGAAGGTATTAAAATGTATCAACAAATTACTAAGTCTAAGAAACTTGAAATATTAAAAATGTAAGTTATATTTCACTGTTGTTATATAAACAGTATTTCTCTTTTAGTAAAAGTGAAATTCAAGAATTTTGTCATAAATCTCGCAAAACATTGATGGAATTAAACGATGATAATGGTATGTATTGAAATCTTTTTGATTATGATATTTAATACTTTATTTATAGATATAGATGATAATGATGATTATGAGCAATTATTTTTAAATATAAGTCCAAAGAATGTTGATGATTTTATTAATGGTAAGTTTTTTAACAAAAACTGTTTTTTTTATAGTATTTTGTATTTAGGTCGATCCACAAGCGAATCAAGTAAAAAAAGAAAATTATAACTATAATTCAAATGAAATAATATGTTGATAGTTGATGGTTATCAAGGTAAATTTTGTATTATCATGGAGATGTTCTATGCTTGTGTGGTTAATTTACACTAATCGTTTCATTAGGTTCAAACATGTATTTTTGTCAATTTCATTGATGTATAATATTTTTTCTTGATTTCATTTTTTGTTACTATTCATTGATGTATAACTTTCTTTTATACTTTGATCTTTCAATGATAGTATGATTTATTCATTCAAAAAATATTTATACTGAATAAAACACAATCAAGATATTTATTTTATGTCTGATGTTTAAAATAAAATAATTATCAATGACTGAAAAACCTAATCAATAAACTATGATACTGTATATTTTCTAAACAGTTGAAGAGAATGTGGTTCAATGAATGAAATATAATTGAAAAAAATTCTTTGTATAATTATGGAAAATGTATTTTTCTTCATAGTGACAAATTTTTTTAAAATCGAAATACAAGAATCAATAGAGCATTCGATACTATATTCATCTCTTTAGAAAATAAACTTTACTTATTCGAATTAATAAAGTATCTTTAAAGATTTACGTCGTGTAAGTTCATCAAAGGAAAAATGGAGACGAACTATTTACACTAGTTTTATATTGAGTATTAGCGAATTATTTGACCTTTAACATTGATCAAAAACTGTTGAAAGCAACCATCAAATTCGTGAATATTAGTAATTAACGAGTCACATAACTATTTATAATGTTTAATTTTTTTCACGTTCACATTTAGTTTTTTTAAGATAAAAATGTAGGACATATTAAAGATATAGCAAATATTAGAAAAGTTACTGTTTCGTTGTTCCTTCCTTAGTTTTCTCAAATGTCTTCAATATCTCCTATCCGTAATTTTGAGCGAGTTTCTGAGAAATTCAAAACAGACATTATATGAAATATAATAAAAGTCGGTTCTGGTCGTATAATAAAATGTTTTTATGCATTTTATGACCAGCATGTCACTTGTTATATTAATGAATTGAATTATATTTATGGACACACAAAACACATGCACTACCATAGATTAACAGATCTGTATATACACTTCAGAAGTGTTTAACATTCAATATATCTCACAAGCAATGTTCCATTTCTATAGATCATCATAAAAAGTAAACTCACGAGAGTATCATCAATAATATTTTAACAACGATTTCAATAGTCATTATTTAGAAATTTGGAATATTTATATAATTCGGTAATGTAAAGAACATTATAAATTTCTTCTTTGAAATCAGAATTGGGCGTGGGTGGAGGTGATTATACAGAATGCAAACATCCACACCTCACCCACACCCTCAAATGTATTCGAATTTTGTATAATTAGTCCTCGAATACTATTCTTCACTTATTTTAGTCGTAATGTGTAGGCGTTCTTTTTTCTTATCATCCCACACAATCGTGTGTACTATTGTAGTCATACCATCCAGATAGTCATTTGTATCATAGCTACCATACGGTAACTATGTTACAGATAGATCCAGGTGAATTTCAATTTCCAGACCCTATTCTTTCAGTCTATGGAATACAATCGATTTCTGAAATTTTTACCATCGTTGTTGTCATGACAATTCACTTGTAAAGGTGTCACTAGTTACATCTTATATTTACAATGATTCGTCTATATATCTTCCACAGATTTCGAATATATGTAACCTTCTATTATTGTTCTGTAGTAAGTTTTTTGTTCATAATGTATTAATGGAGAACGAATCATCTGTCGTTCGTCTCCGACGAAAACTTAGTGAATTATCACAGGAATATTCAAAAGAAAAACAAGTTCAACCACGAAGTAAATCCGCTAATGGACGACTTCCAGTCTCAGATCCAAATGCTAGTTTTCGTTATCGAAGAATAAGACGAAAAGTATTCAAAGAAAACAAAACCTATCTAATTTAAACTAAAAAGAAAACATTTTTTTACTATTTAGGTTGATGTTCTTCGTACAAAAATTGATACTGTCATAGAAGATAATTATCTTACAATAACTGATATAAATAGTTTACAAAAAGAAATGATTCCAACACGTGACAATAATGATTTATCATTGAAAAAGAAACTGATAATGAGTGATGATCAAAATCTTGTCACAAGTGAACTTGTTCAAGTACTCAATAGTAAACAAACAAAAATCGATCAACTCGAACAACGTTTAAAAAAAGTTGAAAAACAAGAATCTCAATGGAAGGTAAATAAAATTCGTATGACAATCTGAAAAGAATCTTTGTTTTTGTTATTAGACAAAATATGAACGAGAATGTAATCGTTGTGAATTATTACAAACTAGAATTATTGAACTTGAACAAGAATTATTAAATAGAAAATATCAATCGAAAATTCTTGGTCGATTACAAACAGATGTTAAACGACTTCATTCAGCTTTTGATGCATTAGAAGTAAATTTAAACCATAAAAATAATTCTTTTTGTTTTGTTTTTATTCTTAAAAAAATAGGTAGAAAATACTCAACTTAATGTTCAATTAACATTTTCTCGTAATACTCATCTATCATCACAACTTGATAAATTTCGACATGGTAATTATAAAACTTCAAATTTATCAAATAATTTATTTATTTTTTCATGTTAAGAATTAGCACATGCATGTCATGAATCATTATGCTAAATCAGATATTATCGGCTAAATCATATATATATAAATTGTATTATCTACGAAATGGAAATTAGTTTTTACTAATTGAAATTATTTGCATCTTTAACATATCACTATAATGTCTTATAGATTATTGTTTTTTTTTCTGAAGTTATTTCTTTTTTCTTTTTGGTTTTTATTTACATATTGAAATAATATTAGTCAGACGAAATAAATACTAGAATATTATGTAAAATGAATTTTTGTTGATTGTAATTATTCATTTAAATCGAAGAAAATATTTCCATTAGTATAAAGTCTAAAGGTAAGCAAGCAGAATTTCTTTATAAGAAAATGACATCATGCAATAAAACGATGATACGAACTTTTCTCTTACTTGCTTATAGACTCTAAAATAATTATATTTTGACGTACAAAGGTTAGCAAATACAGAGAGCAAATAAGTCTATCATCTTTATCAAAGGAGATATGATGAAAACATCCATACTACTATATAGACTAACTCGATCAAGTTAAAGAATGACATCATCTCTTCCGACAAAACAATAGATCTAATATCGAGTGATGACAGACAATGATCTTATCTTTATATAAACGCAACATTTTGTTCTCAAGAAAATTATTGTTTTCAAACTAAATCATCATTTCTTTTGTTGACTTTCAATTTGATAAAAACATACCAATGAAAATATTTAAAAAAACAACAACGAAGAAGATTGCAAAAGCAGTCAAATATATTTTATGTATTCTTATTTCATATCTTAGAACTTAATCATGATGATAAAGCATTATGTGACACAATAATAAGTTACGAATATTATTATTTTTTACACTATTTAAATAAGGTGTTGATTTGATAAGAACATTTGAATCTAAATGACTTCTGAAGACAAAAGCCGTTCTTCGTCCATAGCTGAGTCATTACCATCTGATGATGATGCATTATCAAGTTCCATAATTCTTCGACATGCTCAGCGTTTTAAACGACTTAAGCCATTAAATTTTTCTTTATTACGTTGGAATCTTCTTTGGTTATTTGTTATATTAGCCTTTTTTACATTACCTATATGGATTCGTTTTGCATCTCAATCATGTCAAGCTACATATTATACTACATTATCAATATTACTTTGGTTAGATCTCGTTTGGTTCTTAGCATTAATATTTTCCATATATACATTAATTAAATTAAAATATGGAATGTTAACGGATCATAAACAAACTTATTCATCTGATACACCATTAATTCATTTACTTATATTAACAATATATAAAGATGATATGGGTGTTATTTGTCGTACAGTTGATTCACTTGCTGAACAAACTGAATCAAAACGTATTCTATTAGTTATGGCATGGGAATCTCGAACACCAGATCTAGAAGAACGTACTACACTTATACTTCAACGATATTCAGATAAGTTTTATTCAATAATTTTTCCTGTACATCCATATGGTCTTGAAAATGAAGTAGCATCAAAAGCAGCTAATGCTAATTGGGGTTTAAGAGAAGCTACACGTTTTATAATGGCAGATGATGAAAGAAAAAAAAAGAGTGAACATATTATGGTAACAACATGTGATGCTGATACATTATTTCATTCGAAATATTTTGAAGCATTATCAGCTGATTATTTAAGATGTATTAAAGAAAATGATCCAAGTGTACATCGTACAATATGGCAAGCACCACTTTTTTATAATTGGAATTTAGATCAAAATTCATTTCCTGCTCGTATAACAGGTCTTGTTCGTTCATTAATGACAATGGGTTTACTTATTCCATATAATGTTAATCCAATGTCATGTTTTTCATTTTCATTAACACTTGCTGTACGTGGAGGTTATTGGCATCCACAAATATTTATGGATGATGTTGGTTATTTATTAACAACGATGATTGGTACACAAAGACGTATACGTATACGTCTTTTACCTGTTCCTGTTCGATCTGGACCAACATCAGGTGACACATGGTTAAATGATGTTAAAGAATGGTATATTCAAGTACGCAGATGGGGCATTGGTATGATTGTTTATTTTTCTCTTTCTTTGTAATACATGATCTAGAATCGGCAGGCACGTTAGAAAACAGCTCATCACAGATGTTATTGATATACTATCATAAACTGTATATCGATAATGTCTCGTTACACTACTTCTTTATTACTTTTCTGAAGGATTCAGTAATAGAATGTTGAAAGAAATCTACCCCAAAATAGATAAAATAAAAGAATGTGCTTATGATTAACAAGAACAGCTGCATCGTGTTTCACATATTATTTTCATATTATATTTGATTTCTTTTAAAATTTTTCTTTTAGGTACAGCGGATAATTTTCATTATTTTGTTGTT